TCTAGCTGGAAAGCCTTAGTGCTAAGAACAGCTCTAAGAGCACCCTTAGCATATCTGGGTTGTTTCTACTGTTGCCATTTCTTTCCCTTTTTTTTTTTTTTTTTGAGGTTAAGTAGGAAATTTGTTGGGGAGTGAGGAATCAAAACAGCAATAGCTCCTGAGGCAGGAGGGGTCCGAATAGGCTGCTGTAAGCTTGCCATTTGGGATAATACCTTGCCAACGAGGCACACTCATTGGTAGCAGTCTTCATATCAGCAGTAATAAGCTGTCTTTCGTTCTTTTAAAGGTTTTGCCATTGGGGTAGTTGTGGACAGAGTGTGAATTCAGATACAGTTAACAGATGTTCATATGATTGAAGCTAATTAGTATTGCATGTCTTCCTGTGGTTGAAAAGCACAAGCTAGTATTTTGGGGATTTATACACACAAAGCATTTTGAGGTTTAGCGCATGTAAAATTGGCTGGGGTTGTGTAGTGCTGAGAATTGAACCCAGGCCTTCATCCCCTACCTTTATTTTTCAGTTTGGATTTTGTGGCAAGTCTTACTGACTTGTCCGGCCTGACCTCTGTTTTGTAGTCCCAAGTAGCTGGGATCGCAGGTGGGGGCCGCCACGCCCACCCCACTCCACTGTAGAACTGCATCAGCTTTGTTGGCTTCCCATTACTATACCAGTATGTGGGGTAAACAGTTTACAAGGATAGGCTTCTGGCTCACAGCAGTGAGGGCTTCAGTTTGTATGCACTTGGCCAATACCTCGCCTCATGGTAGTGAGAAAAGGAGAAACTGGAGGACCACGATCCTTTTTTTTCTTGGCAGAACCAGGAATTGAACTCAGGCCCCTGCGCTTGCCAGGCAAGCGCTTGTTCTACTGGGCCATCTCCCCGGCCCCATGATCCTTTCAAGGACTTTCACCCAGGCTGCTCACTTCGCTCTGTCAGTACCCCCTCCCCTCCCCCCGCCCCCCAGGTTCCACCGCGTGAGCCTCGGAGCACTGAGGATCCAAGCTGTAGCAGCAGCTGCGTGTGGTGCCTTTGGATTGAGACAGTGCACTGAATTATTTTAGTAGAACTCGGGGAACTTGAGCTGTAGATTTTTCTTTAGGGAAGCAGCCTAGCTTTAGTTTAAAGTACTAACCCTCGGGCTCTGAATTGGAGAGGGCTGTTTATACAGTCCACGTGTTTCCACTTGCTCACCAACAAAAGCATGTAGCACTAGGTTGTTTTTGTTTATAAACTACATTGGGTGCTAAACATGCATGTGGCCAGGTTTTCCAAAATCATGGAACAAATTAAATTCATGAACCAAGGCACCCACTGTGCTTTGCGAGGCTGAGGCAAGAGGATCTCAAGTTCAGACCCAGCCTGGGTAACTTAGTGAGACCATCTTAAAATTTTAAGGACTGGGGAATGTAGCTCAGTATAAAGGCCCTGGGTTTAACCTTAGTACCTCTAAATAAATAAACAAATCTCGATTATATTATGCTCTTGCTTTGTTTTGTATTAAAGGACCTTGAAAAACTTTTTTTCTTCTTAGGGCATATGCTTGTTTTAAATTGCAGAATCAGAGACAGTATTGCCAAATTCATTTTACTTGGTACACTGAAATATCTAGAAATATCCATTATTGCAGTGTTTAATTCGCTCACAATGTTTAATTCAGTGCTTTATGATTTATAGTTCAGTGAGGTTTCTAAACTTGAGAATTAACTGAGTCTGGGGCTTGTTGAACAGTTAACAGAATCTTGCCCAAAGAAGTTTTTGGTTTCCAGAAATGCTGGAGGTTATCTGAAATTAAATTACAGATGCGTTAGTTACTAATGAATATTCTCATCAGTCTTGAGATACTGAGGTTAGTTCATAGAAACTGTCTAGAGGTAAGTATACTTTGCCATCATTCTAAAAGAAAGACATAAATGAACCTGTATGTACGTTGGTTTTGATTTTAGGGTCCACCAAAATACACAAAATCTATTCTGAAAAAGGGAGATAAAACCAACTTTCCCAAAAAGGGAGACGTTGTGCACTGCTGGTACACAGGGACGCTGCAGGATGGGACAGTTTTTGATACTAATATTCAAACAAGTAAGTCTCAATTTTTTTTCCTGGCTTATGATATTGTAAAGCTGTAGACAGATAAGTAATTTGTAGTACCTCTTCTTTTAGTTGTCACCTACTTTTTTTTTCTCTGCAGTACTGGGGACTGAACCCAGGAGCGCTGTATCACTGGCCTACAACCCTTGGGGGTTTTTTTTTGGGGGGGGGGTTGTTTTATTTTGTTTTGTCTTCTTTTAAGATGGGTTGTCACTCGGTCCAGGCTGCCTTGAACTTGAGATCCTATCTCAGCCTCCAATTACAAATATGCTCTACTGTACCACCCACGTTATCTGCATTTTTTTTTAATCTATTAAAAATGCTTATAGTTGTTGGAAAGCAAAAATGAGGGCACCTTGTGTAAATGGGCTTAACGTCTGTTTTAGGTCATTTTCTGCTACTCAGACAGAATTCAAGACTGGATCATTTGTAGGAAAGGTTATTTTGGCTCCTCCTTACAGCCTGGTGCATCTTGCTCAGCTCTGGCAAGGCCATGTGCTGACCAGTACATGGTAGAAAAGTAGAAAAGGAGGCAGGCAGGAACAGGTCAAAGAGAGCCATGTCTGTAACAGTGAAGGTGGAGCAATCAGGCTTGCTTTATAAACAAGTAATTAGCAACTTTCTTGCAGTAGCCAATCAGGCCCTCCAAAGCAAGGATTCATTGGGAAAAACCCCCAAAAAACATCAATTCCCCCTTAGCTACCTAGTCACATCGCACAGGCCCCAACACTGCTGTGCCGGAGACCAGGCTGTGACATGAATTGCAGTACAGCGCAGCCATGTGCCAACCATAGCAGTGTCCCAGGGTGATGCTTTTAATGTAAAAGGCAAAATGGTGTGCTGTCCTTGGTGTGAATATGAGGCCTAATTCCTTACTTCATCATCGAGGCTTTTACATTTAGAATTTTCCTCATTGAATATAACAAGGTTTTCTTGCACAAGGCATGGCGGCACACTCCCGTGATCCTAGCACTCAGGAGGCTGAGGCAGGATCCCCTCATGGTCGGCCAGCCTGGGCTGTATAGTCAGTTCAAGGTCAGCCTAAACAAAGTGAGACTCTGGTTCCAAAAATAAAAAAAAAAAAATTTCCATTTGGAACTTAATTTCTTAATAAAAGCTATAATATATCATTAATTATTAGGACAATTTTTCTTACAGGTTCAAAGAAGAAGAAAAATGCCAAGCCTTTAAGTTTTAAGGTTGGAGTTGGCAAAGTTATCAGAGGAGTAAGTAAAGAGTGGCAGTAAATCAGACATTCTGACACACACTATTGTGGTATAGTGCTAGAGAGAATTGCAGTAGGGGTACTGGGCGTGTTGGCACGCACGCACCTAATTTCAGCACTTAGGAGGCTAAAGCAGAAGGATCACAGAGTTCATGGCCAGCCTGGACTACATAGTAAGTCCCTATCTCAAAAAAAAAAAAAATTACTATGGAAGGGCCTGGGGAGATGGCTCAGTAGAATAAGCACTTCCCTGGCAAGTGCAAGGGCCTGAGTTCAATTCCCGGTTCTGCCAAAAAAACAAAAAAAAAA